GTCTCTATGTGTGGCCCTGTGATGGGCTTGCGACCTGTCCAGGGTGTACCCCGCCCCTCGCACTGTGACTGCTGGATATGGGCACCAGTGACCCACGTGACCCAGAAAAGGAAGAAGCGTGTACAGAAAATGGATGGATGGATGGATGGATGGATATTTTACTATAGTTCTGAGTCGAGTCATGCAGCTGATCTGAATGAGAAACTTAATGATTCTAAAATATAAATTCTACACCGCGGCAGAAACTCGCGGCGCTGCGAGTCACTCGTTCCTTCACTTCAACTATTTAATAAACATTTTTCTAAGTTCTATCAAAGTCATAAGTTCCTCTGTGTTTACAATCATTTATTAAAGACGTGTAAAGGTGGAAATGTCTGTCAGCCTCATGCGCCGCTGCAGCACACGTGCACACACACTAACACCCACACGCACCTTTGCGAGTGGCAAACTCATTTTACACCCCACTGACAATTTTCTCACTCATTCTCCATTTAATGTATAATTTTTCTGCATCTAAAAATCATTTCTGATCCCACAGAGAGGACAACTGGAGGAGAATCTCACAAGCTGGACACATTTACATCTATTTCACATATTTAAATGGAGGCGTGTCAGGGGAGGTGTTGCACGTGCGCTAAGTTCCACGTTCATAGGGATGTATAAAGGAAAGGTGCGCAGGAACCTGCGTGCGCACATTTTTATACATCTGAATTTTTTGGTGCGGAGCACATTTTTAAATTTGTCCGTATGCCAACTTTTAATGAAAGCTGTGCAATCCTTTATGCAAGAGGCCCCAGGTGTTCTGCAAAACAGCGCCGGTGGCTATTCAGGCCATTTCCTGGCTGCCTAGCCAATATGAAGGATTGCCGTGCTATCAGCACTCAGACTCTATCCCTATGCGAGCTGGGACTCGGTCTGCAAGTGGTTCTTGCTGAGGGTCATGGGCCGACTGCGGTCCCTGGACTTTTCTGGTAAGATGGAATTGATCTGGAGAAGTTGATAGCTCAGCTCGGCGGGATTGCCCACACTATTTATCGGATTGGATTCTCCACATTGGATGTACCAGCGAACATTAAGGCAGATGGAAAATTATTATTGTCTGCCTGACCGAAAACATTTTCTTCTGTTCCCAAACAACTGATAACGAATTGGCTCTCCCCCTTATGTCGCCTTAAGGGCTGTGGATCTAATTTCTCCTGGGAGTTTACGTCGACTTATGGCTTGGCCCCCACCTTCCCCCCTCTCACTCCCGGGGACTAGATTCTTCGGACTCATTCTTCAGATATTCACACAAGTGCATGCAACATTCATGGCTTCAGATACACGTCCTCTAAACTCGCTTACTCCTCTGGCTAATTAAATGTGCTCTTGGTCTGCAGAGNTATATACACAGTATATATTATATAATGATATTAGTTTTTTCTGAATAGACATCCCATTTCCATTGGATTAATTCCACACAGTTCATTTATAAACACTAACTCCTGTTCCTGCCTTCCTTGTTTTCAAGGCATAACACTTTTTTTTCGTTACTTTGATGTCTTCCTTTATGTTTTAATCACAACTTTTACATTTTGTTTGTATTTGCTCCATCTTCTAAACTGAGGACAACTAACGTTTTTTGCCTCAATCCAAACTGTAAAACTTCATTGAAGAAGTTTTATGTTTCAATCCTTCCAACTGGTTTAGCTGACCCGTTTTTTGTTTTTCTGTTTTATAGTCACCAAGAACCCAGATGGCCAGAGGACCACTTTGAAAGAGACAAACGGCAGGCTGAGTGGGACTTCAGTAAAGATTTCTTCTGTGATGTGCCAGGTAAGCTTTTGAGAATATGAAAAAAGAAAATTAGGAAAAAATATATTAGTAAAGGCCTGGGCAATGAACCAAAAATTAACAAACACTGGATTTTATGACCATGACTGACATCATTTTGCTACGATGGCGTATTAGGACCACTTTGCGGATGAAAAATAAAAATAAAAGGAAGAGCAAATCTCAGAGAAAAAACTCAGAATTTATGAGATTAAGTTCAGATATTTTCAAGAAAAAACAGGCAATTCTCTCACATTGAAAAGTCGCAATTTTGCTAGAAAAAAACCCTCAGAATTTCTGAGATTAATTTCAGAAATTTTCGAGAAAAAAACAGGCAATTCTCTTATTTTGAAAAGTCGCAAATTTGTGAGAAAAACACTCAGAAATTTCCATAATTAAAGGCAGAAATTTGCGACATTTAAACTAGATATTTTCTGACATGGTAAAGTCAGAAATTTACAAGAAAAAAACTCGTAAATTTATGAGAAAAATAACTGACGTTTTCAGGAATGGCTAAAGGGCGAATACATCTGTTTTCACTACCTTGAGCATCTTTAATCTGCTCTAGTTTTAAAACTAAAACACACAGAGACATCAAACCTGGACTAGATTATTCTACATTGACTGCAGAATGTTTCAAACTGTGTGATTTGTGAAACATATATTTGTTATGTGAAGCTTAAGGAAATATGGTGATTTCAGCACTTTTTATGCATTTAATGAACGAGCGTGGCCCGATGGAGAGGTGAGAGAATTAGAGTGACTGAAGCAATCATCCAAAATGACCATGGAGCCTGTAGAGAGAAATAATTTTCAAAATTCTATGCAGCCACGCAATATGACCGTCATTTTCCCCAACTTGTGGTGACGCCCTGTTTCGGTAACCGGATATTTCAAAATAAAAGTCTATGAATATTTTGAAATGTGTTTTTCTTTTTCTGTTACGCACGTTGCGATGTTCATGTCTATGAAAAAGTCTATTTAAATAAAGTTTACTGACTTACTTGATGCTTCAGTCACACCAAACGTGTTTTGAGCGTCGGGGGAGTCAGGTTTAAATGCAAAGTCTATGGTGGACCGTGGAAGTGCGGATCAGCAGCTCGTCAGTGCGCAGCTCCCAGAGAAACTCTCTRATCTGATAAATTAATTATGAATTAATTATCTGGTAAGCGTGATGTGCTCTTGCTCTCAGTAAATAAATCAAAGCCACTGTCTTTATTTCGTCTGCCATACACCTGCAGAGGGGGCTCTGGACGCGCGTCAAGAGCAATTTTGACGAGCGTCTGTCTGACATCAAAGTGCACAGGAGTCCAACTTGAAGCGTTTGTGTGTTTTTGTGCGTTTGGCGTGAAGATGATCGCAGCATAATTCTTTCCATCGGGCCATGCTTGTTCATAAAATGCATAAAAAGTGCTGAAATCACCATATTTCCTTAAGCTTCACATATCAAATATGTGTTTCACAAATCACACAGTTGGTTTAAACATTCTGCTATCAATGTAGAATAATCTAGTCCAGGTTTGACGTCTCTGTGTTTTAGTTTCTAKACTAGAGCAGYTTAAAGATGCTCAACGTAGTGAAAACAAGTGGAATCACCCTTTAGCCATTCTTGAAAACTTCAGTTTTTTTCTCATAAATTTACGAGTTTTTTTCTCGTAAATTTCTGACTATCATTTCAGAAAATATCTAGTTTAAATGTCGCAAATTTCTGCCTTTAATTATTGAAATTTCTGAGGGTTTTTTTCGCAAATTTGCGACTTTTCAAAATAAGAGAATTGCCTGTTTTTTTCTTGAAAATTTCTGAAATTAATCTCAGAAATTCTGAGTTTTTTCTCAGAGATTTGCTCCTCCTTTTTTTTCATCTGCAAAGTGGCCCTAATACACCGTCGTATTTTGACCATGTCAGTATTTTCGGTGTTTAAAAAGAAATAAATTTTTATTTTTGTCTTTTTTGGCTTTAAAGTTCACTATCGCAGATTACCGTAATTTTTGGCCGTGAAGAAAATCAGTCATCTTTAAAAAAAATGAGAAGAAGAAAAAAAAGGTTGTTTTCTGTTGTGGTCTCATTAAAGCTGCTCAATCTAATGATGGAGGATTAAACAAACCCCACATTTTTATCCAATCAGAGCAGGGCAGGTCTTTCTGCTGTTTGTGAGGTCCCTCAGGCTGGGGGCAGCAGAGTCTGCAGGATAATCACTGGTCAGCCTGCAGCTCCTGTCCTGAGTGAGCAGACTCCTTCCACACTTCACTCCCAAACTATCCAAGACTTTGGTATCTAAAATCTAACGTTGTACAATATGTCTACGTACGTGTTCAGAGCGTCGTTATCGATATGTTCAACTTTCCTCTCCTCATGAGAGAGTGCTGACACGGGAGCACGCCACGGTGCTCACAGGCTGAGTCTTTCTGTGAGATTCTGTTTGTTCTATTAATGAAACAATATTATTTTGCTTAAGAAGAAGAACTGAAACAGCAAATGAACAGTATTATTATTATAATCTTTTTGAAAGAGATAATCATTTTTAAAAAGAAATCAGTCTAAGAAATAAATAATATAGTTTTGTTTTGTTCTGCACAAAAGACACGTTTGCTATATTTTTTTAAATATAAAATGATAGCACATACCTATACACACATACCATACATATTGTGTGTGTTTGCACTGAAAAGTTATGGAGATAGTTAAATATTTTTATGACTATATCTGACATGTGTATTGCCAAAAATGTTATATTTTTTATTAAAAATATTAAAAACTCTGAAATGACATACATGTAAACTGAGAAAAGCTGTTTAAAATCAAGCTCTTCCTTACAAATACCTTTGGTCCAAATGGTTCAGGTTGAAATCTTTGTATTATATTTGTATTATTTGAGAACACTGTAAAATATTTAGTCAAAGTACTCAGGATGACATTAGGAGTATACTATACTGTGTGTGTTTGTGGTGGTGGTTGTGGGAGGAGTTAGCATTATTGTCCATTTATCGTTATCGGTGAACTGTTCAATATATCATATTGATTTTAGACCATATCACTCAGCCCTATATTTATTAGGGCTGTATATTGGCAAGAATTTGGCAATACGATACATATCATGACAGAGGGGTCACGATACGATATATCCCGATATATTGCGATACTATAAGCAAGGCGATATATTGCGATACTATAAGCAAGGCGATATATTGCAATTCTTTTGTCCAAAAATTCTATGTAATTAAAACCTCTTACTGGAAAAAAAAAAGGAAAACCAAGATTCATTGTCTCAGAAAATTCTAATATTACA